GAGCCTGCCTGCAGGCAGCAGTCTCAGGACACCTGCACTCTGAGGACACCTCCACTCTCAGGACAGGAAGTGCATGCTAAGAATTCCAAAATAAAATCGCCACTATCAGTACAGCGCCACTTTCCAAGCAGGAAATGCACGCAAATACAAAATAAAATAATATCGTGACACTTATTATATACATAGATATATACGGACACCTTGTATTGTAGTTACTATCAGTACAGCCGCAGCGCAACTTTCCGAACAGGAAATGCACGCAAATACAAAATAAAATCGTACTGACACTTATTATATACATATGTATATAAAGATATATATTTATTTATATATATAAATACGACATATTGTATTTTAGTTACACCTGCTAGACAACAGTGGAGGGTTCGAGAAACAACCGTGTTTGCCGGGTGCACCGCGGCGGAGGTGGGGAGGTTCCAGCTGGGAACATCCACCCCGCTGCGGGACCCGTGGGACCCCTGAGTCAGACGGTGCGTCTTGGTCACGCTTCATATCGGCTGGCCTGGGAAGGAAGAGACACGCAGAGTGGGGGAAGTCCCCCACCCCAACGCAGCACACCCTCCTGGCCATCAGAGTCGAACCCGCAGTTCGGAGGAACCGACCGCCAGAGCACCGGCACTAGGCCGGGCCGGTGGGTCGCGTTTGCCATTCGATCAGTGAGAGGAGAGGAGAGGAGAAAAATGCAACAAATGGTCAAAATCCGTTGATATATGGATGAGTGGAGGGGCTGGACACAGGCCGTGGGGGGACACCCGAGACCGGGCAGTGTCCCCGGTAGAAACCGGGGGAAATAGCCTAAAAAATAATAAAAACCGGGGAAAAGTGAAAAAAAGTGTCCGAAAATAGGCACAGAAGGGCAGAGTCCCCTGTCAACTCCCGTTACATTCCTCCATGGTTTCATTTGAGCAAAAAATGACTACGTCAACTATTACGAGAACCAGGCTGGGGGGGTCAAAAGGGCTTGACCAAGGCCTACCCAAAGTGCACGGTGGGCGGACTCATCACCTCTGTGATGAGACTCCATTGTGATTTGAAAACTTCCATCAAACGAGTCTTTCGGGGGGCGGGGAAAAAACGTGTTCGTCAGAATCGTCACTTCCTGTACTGACAGTGCAGGTGTCCTGAGAGTGCAGCCTACACCAGAACTGTCCTGAGAGTGCAGGCCTGCAGGCAGACCCCTCTCGTTTGATGTGGCTCTTTGCAGTAACATAGAAAAAATGTGGCTCTTAACCTTTGACTGGTTGGCCACCCCTGGCCTAGAGGGCCCTGACGGCTCGCCACTGCCTGTATGTTTGTTAGGGAATTAACCTACTATTAAAACATTTAATTATTTTGTTTATTAGATGTCTAATAGGCAAAATAGGGTTGAATTTGGTTGAAAAGTAAAAGATGAAATCTATATCACATATGGCCCTATATATTTAAATTAAGATAAGTAAACGTCTAAGTTATGATACAGACTTCCAATAAACTATCACTTTTTAGCCAACATTAACCAGATTCTAGCCTTGCTGTTATGTTCATTCAATAAAAAAATGAACTTCATGTTTAGAACGATTAGCTCTACCTAGGTTACACGCTTAAATCATGCTCACATGCATCACAATCATATGTTTATGACTGATGCATGTTCAGAATCTACTGTACATCTTTACAATAGCAGATACATAGCATTATGTTAAATACAACTTTCAAACAAAAACATTTAAACAAAAATAAATGGTACATTTTTTATATATATATATATATACACACATAGTCATATGAAAAGGTATATAACATTTAATTGCGATTAAGATATACAAATTAGCTTTATAGCATACCTGAATATTAGGTGCAATTATATGATGTGGAAAGCGGTAAACTCACAAAGCAAATGACACACATTTACGTCAAAATATTTTGTGTCATTGAGAGTGTTGTGTCTCTGTTACCAGGATCCTTTACCCAGGCGGAGGTGTCAGCATTATTTCATCCGGTTATGAAAGAGCTGCAAAAATCTTTTATGAGCTTGCTATTGAGGTAAAGAGGTAAAACACTAGTTACTATGTTTGAATATATCGATGCTGGAATATGATGCAAACTGTGTGTGATTTTTCAGGCAAACAGCCGAGGCGACTACTTTCCTGTGTGGGGCACCTGTCTTGGATTTGAGCAACTGATGTATTTGACAAGTGAAAAAACAATACTGTCGCCAACGAATACAAGCGGTGTGGCATTGCCTCTGAACTTCACTAATGGTATGGCTTTGTCTTGATGTAACATTGATTACTCAATGAGAGAAGTACGTACATGTAACCATAAGATAGACCTAATCCTTATATTAATAAATATAAACATAATATCCATAATTGTAACTCCTTAATGAGTTATCGGAACATAAAAGTTAGATTGGCAATGTTCTGAAGTAGTTAAAGAGAATTGTTTGCTTTGTGTGGTGTTAATATTCAGTTATTTTGTGGTTTAGCAATATAATATTAACATATATTTGCTATTGCTATTTACTATCAATTACAGTATGTTAATACATTTTCATGCCAAAGTTGTAGCAGAGGTATCATTGTTTACAGGAAAACAATGGAGCTTCTTTACATTAACGCTTTAAATATCTTATGAAATGTGTTTTGTATTAGTAATAATCATTATATTATGATCCATTTTCAGAAATCAAAGACAGTAGGATGTTTAAAGACTTCCCATCTGAACTCATTGAAGATCTGGCCACTGAGGCTCTGACAGAAAACTATCACAAGTGGAGTTTGGCAGTGTTGGTATGGTTTCCCCCCATTTATTCTCATAACATAGAAAGCACGGAAATAAAATGCTGGCTGTTGTTTACTTGAGTGCATTGTAAGTAACCTTGTTTTTTTTCAAGACTCATAACTCAAATGAGGAGCTGAACATGTTTTACAAAGTTCTATCCACAAATACGGATGGAAAAGTGGAGTTTGTATCAACTGTAGAAGGTAGTTACAATGCAGATTCACTTGAAGGATTTACAGCAAATAACCCCAGCGTGACATTTTTAATAAGTACTTTTTCTTCCCTTTCAACTTGGCAGCATACGATTACCCAATTTATGGGACACAGTGGCATCCAGAGAAAAATGCATTTGAATGGAAAATGCCTAATATTCCACACTCTCCATCAGCAATCAAGACCACCTTCTACCTGGCACAATTCTTTGTCAGTGAAGGTATGAGCATATTATCTTTCTGGTTCCTTAATGACATAGTCAGTAGCTGCATTATGTTAATCTTGTTTTCTCTCCTTATAGCCAGGAAGAACTTGCACAAATTTGAATCTGAGGACGAAGAGAGCAAAGCGTTGATATACAACTACAATCCTGTTTTCACTGGGCCCAAAATTGACTTCGAGCAAATCTATTTTTTCTGATTTTTTACTCTCGATATATAACATTGCAATATATTTATGCTAATGGCTGGTAGGATCATGCTTTGTGGATGCTGTAGCTGGTTGTGCAGATGAGTAATTAAATGACAGACATTACAAAAAGGGGCCTTTTTATATAATCTTTTAATAACTTTATGACGTTTACTTTCTATTTTTTGGTAAGATGTACTATTATCTCCAAATTATGTTGTAATTTACTCCTTTTACGCTACCAGTCTGACAGAAAGACAGCTACCTACCTAATCGCATTAATTAAACTGCTGAAAAGAGAGTAAATGCTGGACTCACATTTGACGAATCACTGGAAACATGCCTTCAAATTAATGTTGATGTTGCTGTCTGTCTGCTACACCTATAAATAGGAAATTGTTGGAAACATTTTGTAGTGTCCTGTCAAATATGTTAAGTTTTGTGATGTTCATGTTAGTTTAGTTTATGTTCCATTTCCTGTTTTATTTTGTACTCACCATAGCCTCATCCCAATACCCCTCCTCGACTCCAACTTTCCTTCCTTGCGTCTTAGCTCCGCCTCCGTAAGATGCGAGCGAGAGACACGAGGGGCCTTTCTCACTTCTCTTATTTTTCATTTCCTCGCTCCTCGGTCTCTGTCTCACCGGAAGTTGATTTGTCTGCGCCATCTTGAGTAGCGTCCCAATGGCCTTATTTTTGTTGGAGGAGCGAGGAGCGATAATGGAGGAGCTATAATCGAGGAACCACCAGACCATCCTCCGATGAAATCCTCAGACACTCGACCCGCCCCCTTACTGTGTATCGCTCACTGATTGGACGATGCAGTGCATGCACTGATGTGATGCTTCTTGACATGAGAGCAGTTTCCCAGCAGAGTGAAGAAAATACATGAACCTCACGGGAGTCACTCTTCAGTTTATACCGTCTTTTGTGTCAATTCATATATGATTTAGTTACAAATATGTGATATATCTGAACAACAAAGTGGTCAAAAATCATTTTATTCATTTTTTGGAAACATTTTCATGATCGCTTTTTACATTTTCATTTATTATCATTTCCATTCAGTCAGTCATTAAGTGCTATTTAAAATGTTAATTTGCTACATATCCAAACAAACAAAGTGTGCAATCCAATGAATGTTAATCTAACTGGGTTTTGATATATAACATCTCTTTTTCTTCTCTCAATTATTTTATTTATTTTGTGCACTCAATATCAATCAAACTATTGTTCGTTTATATATTTTAAGAATGGCCTTTATCTTTTTTGGGAATTAGTTCTTATTTTTATTTATTTGGGTCAACAGATGATACAAACGTTTGTGTCAGTAAATGTGTACTGACAGAGGCGGGGGTGTGTGTGGATATAACGGGGACAGAGCTGGCTGCTGTCAGACGATCAGCTGTGCAGCGTCATCACAAACGGACCTCGCTTCACGTGACGCTCCGGAGGAAGCTCTTAAAACTAATTTCCCTGCTACTCGTGGTTTCCTTTGCCCTTTCTCATTTCTCCAACTCCCCTGCTCGACTCCCCTCCTCCACTCCTATCCTCGATACTTAGTCCCGCCCACAGGAGATGCGAGCCGAGGAGGAGATCCGAGGAGACAGGAGGGGAAGCAGCAGGCGGTTAGAGAAATGAGAACTCCTCTCCTCTGCGCGGTCATATTTAAGCGACGTCCGTTAATTATGACGTGGGAACAGCTGCATCAGCTGTGAGTGTTTTGTTAGAGCGCTGTATTTTGTAATCTGTTAGATCAGCTGAACATTGTTCCCCCACATATTTACTTTTAATTCCATTTGCAACAAGTATGACACGAATGTATGAGTATTTTCGACACATACTAGCATCTCTTCTGTATTGGGCAGCACTAAAACATTATTATAAAAAGTACCCTACAAATAAAGGGAGACATATACACAAGTTATTGAGCCGTTTCCGCTCTACATCCTGAACTCCTCCCTTCGATGCAATGCACTTCCGTTTTGGCGGACTGGGTTTGTTTTGCT